CGGGGATATAGATATTAAAAGAACCTCCTCTCCCTCCTACAAATCGGAGCGAGACAATAGCCTAGGAAGGCACTAATTCTTTTTAGCATCTTTTTAAATTCAGTACTTTACATAGCCAAAGGGACTATTGTGAGTAGGAGAAGAACTCAGAATTGCCATAATCCTATTATTTTTTTTGTCAACAAAGATGTCTAAAAATAGGTATTTTGGGTCTCTTTTTTTCATCACAGCATCGTCAAAGTGCATTCCTTGAAGTGAAAGCAGCACTGTACTTAGTACAAAAATTTGTCCCAGGTTCTGTACCATTTTATTAACATCAAGTGACTGTTATCCCTAGCAGTATCAAAGACTGAATAAAAATGGTGCAGCAGTGCCAGAATCTGATTCCACTCTTGATGGGAGACTTGTAATATGCAGTGACTTACAGGAACGTGTATAGTCACTTTGCCACCAGTGGTGTGTTTGGAAGGGAAACTTAGGTTTTCTTTACTTGGAGTCTCCTTTAGTTTGTTTTGTAAGCACTTCTGAGAATGCCTACTAGCTCCATTTAATTCACTAATAAATACTACTCTTCATGGTATTGTTCTGATTTGGAGGTTCATGACTTCTTGGTTTTTTTTTTTTCCTGTAAAAGGCAGAATTATATTGCAAACCTAAAAAGATAACGTAGCTTTGTTCTCTCAATTCATATTCAAATCTCATTTTAAAAATATGAAATAGAAGTAAATTTGAGAGCTAAATTTAAACCATTTCCTGAAGTTTTACTTTTTAAGCTGTTTACTAAAAAGCAGAGGAGAAATAGGAATTTGATAGGTTTTTTTAAAGATTATAAACTTGGGGAAAAAGGTTTTTTTTTTTTTTTTTTGAAAGCCATCTCGTCAGTCTTGTGTTCCTTTCAGACTACTGAGATAAAATTTGGAAACAATATGGACATCAGCACCATTGTCTACATCTGCAGATGTGGTGGCTGTTACCCTCCTGTTAAGAATTTAATATTACAGCTGTTCTTATAATACTGGCTTCTCTAGGAGGATTCAGCTTTTGTAGTTAATATGCAACTGCTGGATGAGAAGGTGATTCTGTCTGAGTTTTCCTTGAAGATGATGATTCCCAGCTGGAGCAAATGAAAGATTTTAGAAATTCTTATCACAGTCATCAACTGAAAACAGATTGCTAACATATCTTTCTGTGTATTTGCAGAGCATTTTCACAGGTTCACAAGGAAAGACAAGTTAATCTTGAATCCATTTACATGAATACTGAAGAACTCTGCAGACTTGCAGAGGGGCTATTATATCTAATATCTCCCAGTAATTCACAGCAATTTCTACGTGTAATTCAGTAATCCTGGTTTATCCCAGGGAACACAGAAACCTACAGAAGAATTTCTCCAAAACCAGAAGTATTCCTTCTGAATAAGCCCAGCTTTTAAGGTTTGTGTCAGCATTTCGTATATGTGGTTTGATGGGTGTGGTACCTGCAGTATAATGATGGTGCTTAGTGTGGCAGTGCTCATGGGGTAATAATTAGTAATTTCTGGTCAGGAGTGCAAATCTTAGCAGTGTCATTTGAAAAGCCAGACTCTGTAGTGGGCAGAGAAGCAAAAGCCCATGAGCACCTGAAACTTTATTAGAGGGGTCTGGAAATCAGAGGTAGTACTTTCAAGTTTCAAACCCACGTTTTAAACTACTGCATCTGTCAGGATGCCTCATATTATGCTATGTATGCTCCTAACTTAGTGCAGGTGGAAACTGGAGCATGTAGCCTAAGGTAATGCAAGACAGCATCAGGATGAAAATGCATTTTCTTTCACTAAACTACTAATCTCTTATACTTGCCATTACCACATTGTACACAGTTACAAATGCCGTGTTATTCTCAGAGCATTTGCACTGTAGGATGGGGGGAATGTTCTTTATTCCGGTAATAATCAGAGGAGAAAGACTGTGAGAAGAGATGGAGGTTGTTAGCTGGAGGTTACTTTGCTGGGAATAGAAAAATGAGAGAAGGCTGAAAAGGTCTGTTGATTCTGCTGTCCTGATAAGAGAAGGATCAAGCTATAGACAGCCTTATCAGTGGGTTTCTTGCTGAGCAGCAGCACTATGAAACACATGAAGTACCCTCCAAGCAGGAAGGTGTGTCCTCCACAGAGCATTCATAAAATCAGCAAAGAAAAATGAAATGTAGCTTCATGCAGTGCCCTCTGAGGGGAAAAAAAAATAAATTAAGAGACATAGAGGATTTATTGGCTTCTCCTTGGGATACATAGGGATACATGAATGTCTGTTTTCAGGGTATGCTGGCACTAAGCATTCAGAAGGGAAATGTGGACTACTGGGAAGCTCTTAAAAGCACATCTCTTCCATTCAGTACACAGCTGCACTACTCAGATTTAAAAAACGTGGACTGGCCACTAACAGAGGAGATGAGTGGTAGTGATGCACTACAAATGCTGTGGCTTGAGTACTGATGTATGAGCAGTGTGTCAGTGTTTGTCCTTTGTATTTGCAGTTCCTGAAGAAGTAAGGCAGGAACTGGACAGAAACCAAACCAAAATCTCATGCAAATGGGCTGGGCACCTTTTAGATGCATACGGGAAGTATGAATAAGTGAATATGTGGCTCTAAGTGACTACTAAAGCTTGATTGCCTCAAGCAACTCAGTGGCTATGGAAGAGGCCAGAACTCTCTGGTTACCTATCGGAGTGGCTGCTGCCTCCATGCCTTGAAATACATGGCAGTTCTACTGGCCAGGTAACAGTGACTAGTGGAGCTCTGTGTATGCTTTTTGATTCTGTGAGCAGATAAATGGATCAAAGATGAGCATTGTGTGCACAACTGAATTTTTCATTAATTTTTCTGGAGAAAATAAAGCATTTAGATTCTTTAGAACTGCTGAACTTTATAGCAGTAAAGTTTGTTTCCTTTATCAGAACTATTTTCTTTCATATTCAAGACACAGTTTGTTTTCATCAAATATATTTGCATATTGGACAAAATCTGAAGTTGGAGGTCCCACTGGTACCTGCACAATGAATAAAACCTGAGAATGGCTCAATAAGACTGAGTATAAGAATGTAGTTACATAAGTTACATTATAAACACTTCAAAGGTGCAATTACTCTTGACTGAATTCTGGTATGATAAATGTACCTGGGTATCCTGGCAAAACAGCATATAGGAACTATTACTTTATGCAACAGTAAATGTTGTTACCAATAGCAAGTTCTTTGTTTTGAAGTCCACACTGCTTCAGAAAATATTTCCCTAAGCCTTTAGCTAAGGACCAATTAGGTCTTTCTGTGATTGTTTTTGCTTAAGTGTACATACACATTTACTCAGTACAAAGAGTCCTGGAAAGTAGCAAAATGACTTTGCAGTCTGCAATTCTGTTGACTCTGTTGTATTAATAATTTCTCAGGATGACCCATAAATCTTGTAATTCCTGTTTCTTATGTTTGGGTGCTAACTGGAACTAATGCAAAATGAATATTATTTCATAGTCTTACTGCACTATCTATACTCTCCTTTTCCTAATCCCTGTGTGATTCAGAAGCTTAAAGAGTATTTTTATCATGAGAAGGTATCTTAAACAACATACATATATGCCTGCCAGCATCACAGGTCTCCATTCAAATTCTTTTCTAACTAGCTAGAAGTGCTGCATTATGTTTCCAACAGAAATTTCTGAACCAAATTTATAATCTTTAAACTTCATCTTAAACCTAAGTAATTCATTCTGCTGAGTAAAATTATTTGGATCAGAGTCCGTGGCTTTTACCATTAAATGAAAAAATCACAACAATGAAAAATTAGGTGTAAGACTAACAAGATTAGTTTATTGGCCAACACTGTGTAACTCCTCTCATGATGTAAATCACAAGCATCTCTCAGGTACCACTTCATAGAAATGCAATATTTGGGACTAAAAGCAGTTGTTGCAATGCAATAGAAGGCCACACTCAATAATTAAATGACTTAGCTTGAGGGGCCTGCTCATGAGAGGGTTTTACTTCCCTTTCATGCACTTATTGGTGAGATAAGTTTTGCCATAATGTTCAAATTCACTTTGAGGAGAATGTTAGTGAAATGGTATTATTATGAAATAAATGCTAAATTTGTCTTTTCAGTTACAGGCTCATTCTTTCTGGACCAGAGTAATGGAGCTTGTCTTGAACTGGGTGCTGGCATGAAAGATGAAGGGCTACTGGCTGGTGACTCCTGCCTTAATAGCAGAAGCAGTATGGGGAAAGTCCTAAATATTTTCACTTGCTCCTATGAAAGTAATAGAACAATAGGGATTAAAACTTTCATCCCTATTGGAAGGGACCATATCTCTTTATTGATCCAACCTTCCAATTTGTATAACAGTGAAGTTGGGGTGTTTTGCCACATTTCTTAGTGTGTTTTCTAAACAAATTATATAGATAATGGGAGAATTTTCAAGGTATGTAAATACAATTGATCTTCCTGTGTAAATCTAACATCTTGGTAGATACAACTATTTCTACTATGCATCCATTTGGTATATAAAAGTGAGTCCTTGTTAACGAAGCACTTTGAAAATGAAGCCTATTTGTTTTTAAGGCAGCAGTCAATATCAAAGATAGTCTTCCAGGTAACACTATGTTCCTTTTTCATTCAAGTCTTTTAGGCTAATGTGCAAAGCTCAGTTAATCAGTTTTGCACTGTTGTGAGATACAATGTTAAATTATTTGAAGTTGTTAGTTCAAACAGTTTAGGGAGATTCCACAATAAATTATTTCATCTACTGTCTCAAGAATCTCTTTCTCTTAGCATTAAGAAAACTTAAGTTATTAATCTGGATATACTGTATAAGGCTAAATAACAGACAGATACATAGGGTGAATGTGAAAGAAGGACCAGACAACCTTTCCATATCCTATTATTACAACTGTTGAATATCCTTTCTCTGAAAAAGTTTTAGGTGGATGTGCTTTTTGCTCTTTCATGATTATTTAAGCATGACTTGTTAAAGACTTCACCAAAAATATACATTTTCCTCTCTTCATGAAATTTTAAACTACACAGGTGCAGAATGTTGCATTTCTTACTGCTATCCATGCTTGTTTGGGGACCTGCTTATTGTTCAAAGATTTCAGTACACTTCTTTTAAGCAAAGTCTTGAATTCTATAATTAATGAGCTTGCTTATTACTTCAGTTCTTTGCCTTTGAAGCAGAAAGTTTATCTGAAGTGTTTCTAAAGTTCCCCTACATCCCTTGGAAAACTTTGGAAAAAAATGAATAACAAATATGTGAAGACTTTCGGTTTTTCTCTAGGAAAAGAGAGGTTGTCTTGTTTAAATTATACAGTAAGCTTAAGTAGATAATTTTCCACAATGAATTGGTCAGCCTAAAATTTCTATAAGCGTTCACCCTGCGGTAAAGGTTGAATTTAAAGATGTTAATGTTTTCTGCATTTTTCTTGGTGTTCTTCCAACTACACATTTTGAATCTTAGGTTTCACATAGTTGTTCATGAAATTACTGTGGATCTTTTATATAAGTTTCAAATAATTTTTTAAGAAATACAAAACAACAAAATTTTTTTGAGAGCAAAGGCTTGTAAAGAAAATGTTTCTCAGTAAAGGATACTTTTCTTCTCCAGAAGACACAGGTTTTTTTTTGAAAATGATATGCCTCTTTACTTTTGTAAGGCATTTGCGGGAAATATTATAACACAGAATATTTTTCTGTCTCTGTAACTTCTTTATGCTTTGTAAATGCTTTTTTGCCAAGTTTGAATGAAAAATTGAATATAATAGGAATAATTTATTGTCCTGGGTATTTATTTGAATCATTGATTCCTTGTTAAGTGAAATTTTTTCATGAGCCATATTCTATTGGGCATGTATATGTAATATATCTGGTCGGTGAAAGAGATGTCAGTTTTGGTAATGCATTTTTCCGAGCTTTATTTGAACTGATACAGAAGGTGGAATGAGCTGCTGTAACCACAATGAAGTTGTTAGCTGTCATTTATTAATGTATAAATTAATAAATTTAATTTCTGAAAGACAAATTACCTCATAATGGGATTTGGTGCCTGATGCAGCAGTTTCTGATGGGCTTGGACAGACTTGTGCAAAATTTTGTATAGTGTAACATAGATTATGGAAGGGATATCTTTCCATACATCTTTGAAGGCCTCTAGTAAGTATCTAAATAAAGACTAGTCCCTCATAAATTTTTGATGCTTGTCATCTCCTTCTAAACCCTCATGTATAAATTATATTCTTTTCTGAAGCAGAGATGTTTTGAATATTTTTCTTTTAAAATTTCTCTGCAATCTCATTGGATTTATGCTGTTATTATCAATCAAATATACCTACGGAAAGAATAATATCATCCTAAACTTCTGCGTTTCTTGTGTGATGGCAAACGTAGTATGAAACACCTATGGATGCAGTGTGGGTTAAATATTAAACATATTAAACTATTTTTGTGTAATAGCCTTTTCCTATGGCGATCTTTGAGAAGACTTCTGTTTTGACTTTGTTGATGTTAAGGCTTTGCATTAACTGTCGTTTCCTTGGATGCTTACATTTATAAAACAATCTTAGTTTTTATTTCTTAAGAAAACAGGACTGATTTTAAAAGAGGAAAGACCTTAGCCCAACTCTGTGTAACTTCAAATTTTGAAAGATTTAGGAAACATGAAGTACCAGCGTATGTCAGTTTGTAACATGTGATACTTGGGCTCTCAGGAAACAATGCAGACGATACTTGTACTGAAGGTATTAGGAGAGCATGATGCGGAGTTTAAGTATATGAGATCTAATATGCAGCATCTGATAGTTGTGTATCACCATGAAGGCAAACATCAGGTTCATCTACAATAAGCAAAGTAAAATGTTGAGTTCTTGAGATTTAGTGTTTTATTAGAGGGGAAAACCTCATCACCCAATTATCTTCCCCAGCTCTTCTGTTTCTGCATAGCTGAGTTCTTCCTGTGTACTAAAAGGTCAGAGGAACACATTTTCCATAGCATCCAATCACAGGTAGATAAAGAGTGGCAGCTGCCTATCTCACAGCAGATTGCCTCTATGTACAGGAAGAAGCATGAACTTCTGAAGTTCTGAGTATTAGCTCCTGAGCTGCTGAATCAGCCAATGAATCGATGTCCACCCCTGTCTCACTACATAAACTTCTGTGCAACTGTCTCGCTCCCATTTATAGGAGGGATATGAGGTTCTTTTAATATCTGTATATCCGGCGTGAGATTAAGAATCAACGGTTCAAATGTTGGTCCAACCAGTTTATTATAAATCCTAATCAAGGAGATGGGGAAGGGAAGGAGGGCAATAGAAAATGTAGGAAAGCAGCAAGAATCGCGTAAAGCGGGGATAGTCACCACCAGGATCCAGCAGCGGTCTCGTTGCATGATGTTTCGAAGGTCCGAGGCAGAAGCAGCAGGGGGGGGAGAGCAGCAGTGTGGCCGGCCTTGGGCAGCAAGCAGGTAGCAGGAAGAAGTCGCAGAGCCAATTTGGGAGGAAGCAGCAGGACTCAGGTAGCAGGCCCAGGAGAGTCCGTCAGTATGCAGGCGTTCCGTAGTGAGGAATCTGATGGCAGACACCTTTGTTCTTCTTCAGCATCATGGTAGAGCACAGAGCAAATCTGGGAGGGAGAGAGGTGGGTCATGAGGCTTCTCATGGCAGAAACCTCTTTTGAGGAATCTGTTGCCAGAAAACCTAAACCTCATGGTTTTCAGTTTCTCTTTTATCCTCCTTTTTCTCCTGCCTACGTGACATCCCTGGGTGCTTGAGCAAGAGTCATGTGAGTTCCCCCTGAGATGGCCATCTTCCTCAAGATAAGCCCACAAAAGACCGCTTCACAGCCATTAAAGCTGCAGCTTATCTCTCTCTTGCTGCCCCTGGCCTTGTCCATCTGAATCACAGAATGGCCAGGGTTGGAAGGGACCTCAAGGATCATGAATGTCCAACCACCATGCCACACGCAGGGCCACCAACCTCCTCATTTAATGCTAGACCAGGCTGCCCAGGGCTCCATCCAATCTGGCCTTGAACACTTCCAGGGACAGGGCAGCCTGTTCAATCTGTGTCCCTCACACAAAGGATTTCTCAACCTCTGCCCAGGACTTGCCTGGACTTGTTCATCTGTATCCCCAGCAAGCTTTGAGACAATGATGTAAAAGAATCTCTTAACAGCAAGCGAGGCAGTTAATTGTTTGTGGATCACATTCTTTTCTTATGGCTCTGGTTTTAAACACTGTGTTTATGTGATATATGATCTGTTTATAATGTTACTAGCCACCAGAACAGAAACAGTGAGAAATTAGAACCATTGTTCCCTTTTTGCTTCTAATAAGATGACCAAATTACTCAACACCAGTATTTTGATTATGATTTATTTCCAGCTAGCAGATTTATCATTTAGAATTTAGATTTTTTTAAAACAATATTCAATACCTCCTTTTCCAGAGAAATTTCTCTGTTTTTCTTAGTGCTCAGGATAGTAGTTCCATGCTCAGAACTGCAAAATTTAAAAGCAGAAGACCACTCACAACATTCTTATTAAAATTTGCCTGGTTTCAAAGCTTTGCACATTCAAAATCATCCCTCCAGACTTCTAGGGAAAAAAAAAAAAAAAAAAAAACAGGAGTTAAAATAAATGAAAAAGCTTTTGACAGGTTATTTTCCACACACAGAAATATATACACACACACACACATATATACACATATATATACACACATATATATAAAACCTACCGGCCATTTCAGACCTCCTTCTGTAATATCACTGTAGCTCAAAACTACAGATGAAGAAGCAGAAATTTTAGATGAACTCTTGTGCTTATAAAGCAGAAAATACTGAGATTAAACACTATTTTTCTGTTTTAAAAATTAATGGCTGCAATATTACTCAAGCACGCTTTAGAAAAGTTAACATTTGACAGATATCTGCTTCCCTGAGGAGACATCACAGTGATATGAAAATAATGAACTAAAAAATAATGATTTGATGAGATACTAAGCATTCCAAAGAAAAAAGTGTTATATAAAGCAGAATATAAGAAATAGAGAATTTATATTACAGAGGAACACCAGCTAAAAATGCAATAAATGTATAAGAAAGTAGAAGCAATAAACTGGACATTCATGACTGTGTCTTGCAAGAAGTATCTGAAGTGACATTCTATAGCTCTGCTCTAAATGATTTATTCCATCATCTTCAAGTCTCCAGAGAATTCTGCCAGAATAGATAAGAGTTCTGTCATGCAGGTTGGACTCTGCTGTATTAAAAGCAAGAGGCATTCTTCTGCAGTTAAGACTTCCCTTGGCAGCCATCCTTCCCTAAAGCTCTGGAGACCATGCTAGAGGAATCAGTGAAAGACTGGTGATAGGCATAAACTACAAAATATTCACAACATCTCTCAGTCAGTCATAGATATCAGTTTAACTTATTGTTTGTTCCATAGCCTTTGTTTTTCAGAAGACTAACTTTTGTTTTCCCCCTGTTGAGATAGGTAGGGGAGTTTTCAGCCATGCTTCTTTGAACTTAAAGGGCTGAATAATCTCTCTCTCTCCACTGTCTGGAATGCTCAGAAATAGAAAAGAGAAACATACTGAGAGTATCTAGGACATACCCCTATTAAACACCTGAAGGCATCACAGTTTTGTGATTTACTAGAGTTCTAAGGGGGGACCTTACATGCTTTCTTGGGCAATTGCAGGCCTGACTTGAGCATCCTTGTTAAACTTGTATTTTACAGGATCTCCCTCTTGTTTTAGGCATGATCATTACAGGACAGATATGTTTCTAGGTTCTTAGCACTTACGGGCCTGATTTTCTCCTCATTCTGATCTATGCAATTTCACATATCAAGGATATGGAATTCACTGTCTGAGTAAGAGGAATACTGGGCTATATAATCAATGAACATAGAGATGTTATGAGATATACCAGAGAGTTTGGCTAAGCAGGTTATTATACCAAAAAGAGAATAGAGTACTTACCCATATCCTGGGCTCACTGTAAAATTCCACAGGAGAGATCTCTAGAAAGAGACCTTTCCTGAGTGGTAGTCAGCTCTTAAATGGGTCTAAGAGAGAGGAGCCAGGTTCCACCCCTTCTGGCAGCACAGGTGAATTGCCTTCACCTGTGCTCCCACGGCTGACTCATTGCTCACCTTAGGTGATCAATCAGAGGTTCAAGCTGTGATTCAGCAGTTCCCATACATGGGCTTAACACATTTGTCTTAGCACATGAGAAGGAAAGGAATGGATGTTCTGTCGCTAGTAGTGCACTTTCAAAGGCATGCTGCCTTAGAAACAAGTGAATGCTAGTTGTATCATTTTGCATACTCTATCAAATCCTAGATGTTAAATCTATCATCACGCAGTGGCTCAGCTTGCCAAAGGACATCTTGAACCGAAGTCCAGAGAATGGAGCATATAATTGAATCACTGATCACCAGCTGTCACAACAGTCCCCTCCTCCCCGAAACAGTAATGAAAGGAAGCAAATGAGATTGCGTGGTTCAAACTTTTATTCTGACAACATCCCATTGTTGTGCTTTAGCACTGAGCCAAGCAAAATTGAAGAGAAATCATCTTCCTCATTACATTTTCCCAAAGCTTATTAAAAGCACTTGTGTGCTGCTGATATCGCCACAGGAGCTGACTGAAACTTCAAAGATGAAGCCAATATGTTGTTTGAGAAAATGGCAACGTATGCAAAACAGCAAGAAAAATATATTATCCTAACCTGAAAATCCCACCGTTTTTGCATACCTGACAAATCAGACAGATGTGACTCGAGATAATTATGATTATAAGTATATTGGTCATTCTATTAGGATAGAGTATATGATCTTTTCATTATGGTGTCTCTCTAGAATCTAATCAATTAATAAAATCACACCAAAGTCCTATTTTCTATGTATTTACTCATATAGAATTAAATCCCAGCCACAGCACTGATCTGCTAGAGAATACACATACAATTCAGACCTTCTCAATTATGATGCCTTCCAGATATGAAATAAGAAGCACCCTTCCCCGAACACCTTGTTTTGTCGATACTCTTACTATATGTTACTATATTACTATAGCCCCTGTAAAATGCAAAGTGGATGGCTGTAGTTGTTCTTACAGAAACATAGAAATATTTATTTTTCCTTAATGCACCTGGAATTTGGAGATAGATATATAGATATATATATGTAATTTAAATTCCATTTTATGAGCAAGTAGAGAATATGACAGTGTTATTTTAAAATGATGTGCTTGAAATACAGGCATGTCTTCAGAAGGACCAGACTTCACTTTTTGGCTCTAGGAAATTGCTGTCCTGCTGGGCGAGGCTACATGTCCGTGGAATAGGCAAAGTCTTTGGAAGCTTGAATCAGTGACTAGTAGCTGATGGGGAAGATCTGAACTTTTCAGTCTTTCAGACAATTAAAACAAAAGGGGGAAAAGAGAAATGCATGGAGAATGATAAATAGAGACTTTTAGCAATACATACAGTACTTCGATCAATTGCTACCTTATTTTTGAAAGCACTGATTGAAAATGACAACTCCTGTGCTACTGAAGCTGAACAAATAAGAAAAAAAAAGCTGTCAATCTGTGTGGCCATTTTTTCCCTTTAGTAGAAGTTTTAAAATATGAAGCTGTGTCAAACTTTGATCTTAAAAAAACAAAAAAATCTGATAGCATTCAACAAAAATGTTTTGAAAAAAGTTAAAAGAACAAACATTATTTCCACTTACATTTTTTCTGAGGCTGCATATTCTGAAGCAGACCCACTATTGAGTCTCTGACAATGAAGGTAGATTGCTTTTAATGATTTATGTCAGCTGAATTAGATGTGATTTACCACTGTTTTCTCTAAAACAACTGTCTGTAGAATAAGAAAAGAACTCTCTGGCTTTATTTCTTATCAGAGAAAATCATCATGGTGTTGAATTCATG